TGTCTGATGTAGTGGATCACCAGGATCAAAGTAAACTGAAGACCTTTAGACCCCTGGCATTTGACATCACATTACTCTCATACACAATAGCCTTACAGGCCACAATCAACAAAATATAAATTAGTGTTTTCAGTATCCATGCTCCTCATATCCCTAGCTCCAAGATCTTAGAAGATTCTAACACGTTAAACATAGATGTGTTCTTATTTACAGCAAAAACAAGAGGCTGAATGTAAAACATGTTTAATAAATCTGCAGAGCCTAAAGTAGCAATATAATTCAGAGCAGCAAGATAGACATGCACTTCTTAATTAAGTGGGTGATGTTCTAGTTAAAACAAAAAGACAACCCTGGGCCATAGCTAAGATTAAGCACGCACTCTTGCAAAGGAAGCTCCTGCTATTATCAATACAGAGGCTTTAAATCACAAAAAATAAACCATCTAATAGTTTGTATTCAATAGTAAGTAGAAAGTCAGGACACAGACTGATTTGGATTAACACATTTTCAGTTATAACAAGTAATTTTACAGAGGATTAGTATCTTGATGGTCTGATCAATACTAGGCACTGCTGCTATTACAGATGAAGAGAAAATTACCCCTCCAGTAATAAAGTGTGTATGTCTTGGTTCTCCTTCATTTGCTGAGTCCATTACTGTAATGGTTCCAGCATTAGCAGCTGAGGCAATTTAAGCAGCAGGAATGTGATGAATTTAAAAGCAAGGAACATTTGCCACTCATTCTTTCTTGTATTTTATTCTGCATATGCAAGGCTTCTACCTGACCATTTCCAATATACAAATCATGTGTTATGTGACTATCAACACTATTTCTTAATTATTGTCTCATTAATAATGGGAAGGGCCAATAATGTGATTACCACAAAAATTGCTACTGGCATATTGGCTGCTGATTCTGCTAAAACCTGCACACCATTTACCTAAGCAGAAATATGACATGACAAGAAGCTTATTTAACTGCATCTAAGCTGTTTCATTAACTTTAATTTTCCTAAATACAACTTCTAAAATAATCTATTTAATCTGTCAATTAGAAAATTTTGTATGTTTTTATATCTTAAGAGGCAGAAGAATAACAGGAAACAAGAAATTAATGTAATATTTGAACAAAGTATGATAAGACAATGTTAAAGTTTATATACTTCTTTGCATGGTATGGGTGACATTTTTCAGCATTAATCCTAAGATCATTCCCCTGCTCTTAACTGCTCTGAGGATACTTGCCTATTTTTCCCTGAGTATTAATATGTAGAAGCAACCTATAGTATCTTGTAAACATGTATTATTTTCCAGCCTGCAAAAATGAGGATGATGCAGGAAATAAGACTTTCATTGAAATCTCAGCCAAAACACTGTATATTCCCTTTTCCTCCTTGTAAATAAAATACATGCAAAGCTTTGTGTTATTTAAAGCTTTATATTTCCTTGCCACTTTGTCTAACATGTGCAATTTCACATTTATGAGACATGAATACCTTTGTAAAAGCCCTTGTGAATATTCAGACATGTGTATATTGATGCATTTATTATTTGTATAGCAATAACTTTATTGGATTGGGGTCCCAGCTGTGCTGGGAGCTGTACAAACGTAACAGTAATGTCTGTGGAATATATTCTCTGTAGTCAGTTCTGGCTTCACAGTAATGTGAATTAGCATAAACAGCTACATAAGGTAATTATGAACTGGGCTTAGTGGTCTATTCCAAAGACCCGTCAATGCAATCTTCTGAAAGTTAGAGAAAATAATACTCAGACTAGCTGAGTATCTTATCTTTCACACAGTAGTGACGTAGGGTCTTAATATGCAGAGTGGCAAGAGGAAGCATATAAAGATAGTTACTAGAACTTAACATCTGTCACACTGAAACTTACTTAAAAAAAACCAACAACTTTGACTAAGTAACTTTTGAGAACAGTCTTACATTAACGATTAACTTTTTTAACTAACCTGTTAATATTAATCAAGATAATAAACATTCTAAAAGCAGAACAGCTTTCTTCCCAAGTTTTAAAGGAGAAAATAGTCTAAGTAGACTACTAAATAAGAGGTTTATGTTTGGTTTTACCTCATGTGGTACCTTTTCTTCACCCGGCAAAAAAAAGTTTACTGCAAGCTGACCAAAACTCTGACCAACAGTGTAAAGAAAAAAGAATTAAAATAACTCTAAACTGTACTAAAACTGAATTCTAAGTTTAAACAAACAAATGAAACACACTCCCAATGGAGTTCCATTAAAATGCCTTTCTAGCTAATGAGCAACATCTACTCTAACAGCTCTGGTTTTATGCACAGAAGTAATATTTGCTATAGGGAAGACCAGAGAAGCTGATGGCATACAACATCTCTAAAGATGTCTTTAGAAACTTCAGAATAATCACGGTTTGCTGTCCATTTAAGACTCAGAGAAATATTCCAGAGGACACTTGCATCCCCAACATGGTGTTTAAGACAGGTGAGTAATTAACTTCTGGCTATTGTCTCCCAGTTTTTTTCAGACCCTCTTCCTAAGAATGAATTTGTGTCCTCCTCCTCTTGGGCTTAGAACACCAAATACTAGTATAAACAATTTCACTTGTGCTACACACTCAATCTTACTCAATCCAATTGAGTGATCTGCAAAGTGGAAGTTGCTATATGACAGCATTGCACTCTAAAGAATTTCTACCACGTACTTGGAACAGAAATGTTCTTCTATAACAGCATAAATCAAAGCTTGCTATATACATGAAAATTTGAGAGAGAGAACAGCTTATCACATGTAAGAAACACACTGCATAATTACAAAGCAAAAGCCATTCACCAGGTTTCTGATAGATAGCATCTAAGTGTATATAATTATAGCAAAACAAGAACTTTTATTCAGGACTTAATTCTCCAGAACAGAGACACTGCCAGGAGATACATAATCCAAACCAGCTTCTCTGTCCAACCACTTCCCTCTCATTAGTAGGCCTCATAAATCTTACTCTCCAGAAGAGGTCAGGTTAACCTCACTAATATTTGGTTTGCTATGAATAATTTTGATCAGGAACTAAATGGAAGCCTTGGCAAAACTACTACAATAAATACACACTTCCTTTGCCTTCAGTATTTCTTAGGTGAGCAACATAAGCAAACAACAGTTAAACCTAGGGATTGAAGGGTGAATTGGCATTGTGCCAGGAGCCCAAAGATTACATTTCTAATTAAGTTCTATAAAATAATACCAGTATGAGGATGCTCCCATGAAAAGAAAACATACATTTCTTCTTGTATAACCCCTCCTTTTCCCATTGCTGCCTTCTCCTTTGGCATCCTTTATTCTAAGACATTCTACATGCTCCTTTTGTTTCACTTTCAATATACTCAGTTTGTCTCAAGCAGTACCCAACTTACAACAAGCCCCTAAGCCATCCTATAAGTATTCACACCTTTAAATTCTCTATAAGGATCTCCTTAATTTTCAACCTTCTCTGTGCACCTACAACATCTAGATGTGTCTAAGGCAGTACTCTTTCGCTCTAGCTTCCTTGAGTTTTTCTTACACGTTGCTCTTCTGATGCCTCTTCAGGTGCCGCCTTCTACAGCCTTTGCCAGTGTAGTTAACAGTTCCATCCTCTTACTCCCTCACACATATCCTCCAATTATTATCTCATGAATGGCAATTATTCTCCTAATGCAAGTGATTCCCAAATACGTGTCAGATATATTGCAAAGACAAAAGCCCTTGGATGGATAGCATAAACGTGCAGGCTAAAAAAGGTATGGGTTGGGTTTTTTTCTGCAACGTAATTACATTGGATTGGATGGATCCAATATACATGAAGTCAGCACGTGTTTTCATGTATATGGAAAGAGCAGAACACAAAACACTCTGAAGTTCCTGTCCTTCAGTGATGAGGGACAGCAGAAGGACTAATTACAAAATCACTAGGTTGTCCTTAAAGAGTTGTTAAGGCTCTTACTACTGTGAACAGGCTTTAAAGTTATTTTTCTACTAAAATATTTAATTGCAAACTTAGGTCAGACCTTTTCGCTGCCCCCCTAGTGAAATAACCTTGAATGTTAAATTGTAAATTAATAGCAATATCAAAACCAGTATGTTCTGTATGCAGAGACAGGTGAAGCAGACTACCATCTTAGGAAGCTTTTTCTAAATTTATAATGGAATTAGCCTTCATTTCATTAACCAGCATTATGCTTTCAAACAAGTAACTTCCTGCTTCTCTGTACTACTATTTTGTAAACAAGATCAGCAGAGGTACAACAACCATCAAGAGTAGCAGCCAACTATTGTACAACGTGGTAGAAACAAGCCCTTCAAAGGCACCCGAAACAGCAAAACATTCAGCAATGCTGTTTGCTTACACAGTGTCATTACATCTTCTCTTCAATGTAAGCATGTAACAGCATCACAGCCAAAAACATTATCGAGAAAAAAATATTATAAAGCCAGGGTGCTATAAGAGACTTAAAAATGTTTCCTTAGGTTAAACTTGGTGCAGAGCAGTGTAGCGTAAGAGCACTTTTAAATCTGAAAATAAAAGCGCAGTTACATAACGCATCGCCTCACTGGGAATGTTTTGACAAAAACAAACATGTATTTCCTTGCACAATTTTTCCCAGATAACGCCACAGAACTCCTTTTTTAAATCGAAATACCTTGCCCAGACGGCAAAATCTTTATTACTAGCTACCGCTAAAGCTGGACGAGGATCCCCTCTTTAAAAGGGAGAGGGCAACCCGAGACTTCCCAGTTAATCACAGCACCACGGCCAAGCCAGCCCGGCCCCACGCAGGCGGACAGCCCTCAGCCGCGCCGGAACTCCCACCAGCCCTCCCGCACCGACCTGGCAGCCCCTCCTCCGGGCCCCATCCCCCGAGGCACCGGGGATTACTTCACACGCGCGGGGCGCGCTTAACCGAAGCGACTTGAGGGAAGGGCCGTGAGCCTGGGCCGTGC